GTCCCCCCTTTGCCCCGCTCTCCACCCCCGCCCCGGCTCGACTTGACTCGGCTCGGCTCAGCCGGCTCGGCTCGGCTCAGGCGGAGCGCGCGCCGGCTCTGCCCGGCTCTGCCCGCGCTGCGCTCGCTCCCCCCTCCACCGCGCCAGTACCGTCTCGGCTGCCGGCGAGGACGCACCGGAGGCCGGACCGTGTGAGGCCTCGCAGCCACCCCGCGCGCGCGCACGGACGTAGCGAACAACGTCGTGCCGGTGACACGCGTGTGACAGTGCGGCAGTGACGAGCAGTGTGACAGCGTGTGACGGCGTGTGTGTGCGTCTATACGTGTGTGTTGAGCGCCGCAGCCCGCATGGCAGGTGACGGGGTGTGACGGTGGGGACTTCCCTGTCGCGCCAGGACGCTCCGGGACGTGCCATGTCCCTGGTGAAGCTCAAGACGGCCGGCCCCGTGGCCGCCCCTCCGGGTGCGAGCCTCCCCCGCCCCCCGCGGACCAGCGGCAACAGCCATTATTAAGCTGTTGTCACGGCAGCAGAGAGCCGCGGCCTGTGCCGGCGCCTGCGAGTGCGAGAGAGATAGAGAAAAGCAGTGCGCGAGTGCGTGTGTGTGTGTGTGTGTGTGTGCAAGTGCAAGTGAGACATGCAGCCGCTGCAGTGAAGGACTCAGAAGAACGACAAGCTGGCCGAGCTCGTCGCCACCGTTGTCGCCGGGCAGGTGACCGCTGCCGCCGCCGACTGACCCCGCCCCCTTTCTCGGAAGACCCTTCCAAGAGAGGAGCCGAGAGGAGTCGAAATTAAAATGGATTTCGACACTGCGCTGGAAACGTTTCGCGAAGCGTGGGTCGCCGCCAACACGAAAGGAGGGTCCCTGGACACCGTGCCGCAGGTAGGAAGAGAGACGAGACGGCCGTCGGCTGGAGCCGGAGCCGGCCCGGGGCAGCTGGAGGGGGAGGAAGGCGGGTAATCCCTGGAGCCGTGGATAAGCCGGCCGGCCCCGCCGGTCTGTCCCGCCGAGGACCACCGGGCCAAAGCCACACCTCGCACAGCGCGCACAGCTCGCCTCGATTTAGGGCCGGACTGGACGCGGGGCCCGGCCGGGGGCACTGA